TATATATATATATATATATTATTAAAAAACAATTGTTTATAAGATTCTAAAGTTGTTTAACTATGCTATTAAAACAATATACTAATTGTTTTTAAAGAAATATTTTTATGAGCTACAAAAAAAAATTATAATATTGATGTTAAAATACATAATTTGAAACAATTGTTTATAATTATGTAATTTATATTTATTGTGAATTATCATTAGTTAGTATTAGCAATAACTATTATATAATATAATAGAAACATACATGATTACACTTAATATGATGTATTAATGTGAGAAGTAAAAATTATTAATGTTAAATTTTGTAACCGAAAATGGAGGGAAAAAAGTTAGAGGTTTTATTAAATAGGTTTTATTAAATGCTATTGGCTAGTAATTATATATATAGATATAGATTACAACAAAAAAAGCCATTTTCCAATAAAAATTCATACGGTAGTATATTCAAATAGAATTTTCAACGGATATTCTAATGGTATAACTTTCGTTAGTGTGATTCCAACGAAATTATTTCATTGGAATTTGGATAGAATTTGATCTTTCTAACGGCTATTATTCCAACAGTTTTTTGCTGTTGGAATATACAATTTCTGTTGTAATTTTTATTTTTTACATATATTTTAAATTTTGGAAAATGTACCGTTGGAATCATCAAAATCCAACATAAATTTCAATGAATAACTTATTCCAACAGAATATATTTTGTTGGAATTTCTGTTGGAATCAATTGAAAAATTTCAATGGAAATAACAACATTGGAATATCCATTGGAATTGCACTTAAAATTCTATTATATTTTTCAATGGAAATTACACATTGGAATATTCATTAGAATAGCAGTTAGAATTCTATTGCAATATATTTTTCTTAAATTTTCTATTGAAATTTCATCAAGGTTCTTGTAGTGTAATAACAATAATAGTAATGTTATCAATGTGAGATAAAATCAATTACTTCGAGATGGTTATAATCAAATCACTAGAAACAAAACTAGACATATCACACCAAATTTCGTCATATTCTTTTAGTGCAAGTGGGATTTTTTATATTCATAAAAGTGCCCCAACCCCATAATCTTAATGTAATAGGCCACAAACTTAAATCTTAATACATGTAATCTTCTTAGACTTACAAAATTTAATGGAGGCAATTGTAACAATTTCAGTTTAACCAAGGAAAACTCTGGTTTTTACCATTTTAATTATTATTGTTTTTCTTTAAAAAAAATAAAGGAAAGATTACACTTTGTCTATAGAATATTCGCATTTTAACACTTCGTTCATTCAACTTTTTTCGGTGACACTTTACACCTTGAACTTCAAATAATCTTTCACTTAACGACTTCCGTCCACCAAAGATGCAAAATCAAGGGCAAAGTATAAAAACGCGAATAGTTCGGTAGGCAAAGTGTACTTGTGAAGACTGATTTGAGGTTTCTCCTAAGGTGTAAAGGACGATTTTGCCCTTGATTTTGCATCTCCGATGTCTGAAGACGTTAAGTGCAAGAATTTTTTAAGTTTAATGGATAAAGTGTCACCGGAAAAAGTTGATTGGGCAAAATGTAAAAACGCGAGTAGTTCGATAGGCAAAGTGTAATTTTTCCAAAAATAAAATAAAACTATTTTGTCCACAATGGTAATGCATGATTATATAGACCCCTCATTTACATGTCCTCTAGCATAAAGGAATTCCACCAGTTAATATTCCACTAAATAAATTTGAGGAGAAAAAATTTAATAATAATAATTAATTCCCCAAATAATATAATTAGGTCCTATAAATATATCGTCTCTACCACCATACTTTAATCAATTTCATAGAACTATTAAAAAAAAAGAAGAAGAAGAATTACATTTACATCAATGGCTTCACTTGCGTTTTCTTGCATCAAACCTCATACTATCTCGAATAAAAACAAGTCGTTAAGCCACGAATCATATTTGCTCGCAAAAACAATCAACATTCCTACTCAGGAAAACATTTGTAGTGCCAAATTGACCATATCAAATGTTGCAATAAAACCACCTGTTTATGATACTCACTTGAAAAAAGAAAGTGAGAATAATCAAGAGCTCGTTGCATGGACAAGTGTAAAGCAAGAGAGATGGCAAGGAGAGCTTCAAGTTGAAGGACAAATCCCAAAATGGCTGGTAAATGTGCATTCATGCATAGTTGTTATTTTTTATTTTTTCACATTAAACAATTTGTTGATCCCATGCAGAATGGGACATACTTGAGGAACGGACCGGGAGTATGGCACGTCGGAGATTACGACTTGCGCCACCTCTTTGACGGCTACGCAACCCTTGTCCGCCTCCACTTTGAAAACGGCGGCCTCACGATGGCCCACCGTCAAATCGAGTCTGACGCATACAAGGCCACCAAGGCCCACAACAAGCTCTGCTACCGAGAATTTTCTGAGGTCCCGACTAGGCCCAACAATTTATTGGCCTACATTGGCGACCTAGCTAACCTATTCCGTGGGGCCTCGTTGACCGATAACGCCAACACTGGAGTCGTTAGATTGGGGGACGGGCGCGTGGTTTGCCTGACTGAAACCGTGAAAGGCTCAATCATGGTGGATCCAGACACGTTGGACACGTTGGGGAGGTTCGAGTTTAGCGACAAATTGGGGGGACTCATACATTCGGCCCACCCCATCGTGACCGAGAATGAGTTATTGACGTTGTTGCCCGATTTGATTAATCCAGGGTATTTGGTGGTGAGGATGGAGGCAGGGACGAACGAGAGGAAGGTATTGGGTAGGGTAGACTGTCGAGGTGGACCAGCGCCAGGGT